GCCATTTTTCAAATACTCCAAGTAGACGCCTACTGCAGGGGCTCCCACTTTCTGTTCTGTGACTGCAGTGCTCTTACTCTTCTCCAAAAGGCTGCTCCTTTGTTTATATGTCATGTCAGAGATGCCTTACCTGGACATCCTAAACAACATGAAGTACCCAGAGGTTCTCAAAATACAGTCCTTGGACCATAGTATCAGCAACACCTGAGAACGTGTTTGAAATACAAATTTTCAGGCTCCCACCTCAGACCAGTAATTTGTATTTTAACAAGTTCCTCACTCCTAGGGGATTCTGGTGCAGATCACAACTGAGAACACCTCACCTTGACCTCATTGCCCACACTCCCTTTTCCTCCTGCATAGTCCTCACTTCCATCTGCCAAACTCTGCTTAGACTTCTTTGTTATGGATCTCCCTCCACTAGAATATAATCTCCAGGAGGGCAAGGGCTTTTTTTTTGCTTCCCAGTTTTGTGCCTGCCTCTGGGGCAGGGCTTAGACTGACACATAGTAGGTACTCAATAAATTTACCCAACAAATGAATAAACTAGTTAGTGGGAGTGGCTAGAATAGCTGACTCCCAGGTTCTGGCTTTTTTCATTAGATCAAGATATTTATTTGTAAAAGCATGACTCCTGACCTCAGAAAGAATGGGGATTCTACTGTGGTAGCAATGAAGGCTTCCAACCTTATTGAGAAGGGATGTGGGGGCGAAAGAGAGATGAGGGAATGTGTATAAACTAGGGCATATACAGATTGTTAGGAATGTGTGGGAAGCACTTTTTATCACTCCAAATTTGTTTTTCCCAGTTAATCAGTATCAGTCCTTCCTTTCAGGGAGCAAAGACCTGTTAGAAACAGAAAATTTAAAAATCATTGTCATTAAGTAGTTTGTTTTCTGGTGTATGCTGCCCTGCAGTTAAAAATTTTGCACTCTGACCTATATATAACAAATATTAAATGAGCTAAAAAATAATTTTCTTCTTCATACCCTGAAATTGTGAGGGCTTATCTGAAAGAAGTCTTCTGTTCCAAACTTCCGAAGTCCTACCTGCTTCTGCCTGACTTTCTTACTCAGGTTCTTAATCAAATTCTTGTATTTGGATGTTGTTTTCCCAGATTAACCCAGTATTAACCCTTCCTTTCTGCTAATAAAGAAACATAAGTCTCACTTCCAACTAAGCTAATAATCCTCCCAGTCTTGTGTTTATTTAGGACAATGACACTCAGAAATTTTTGTCAGAAACCATAGTAACTGTTTCAAAAAGACTGAGGGGGAAAAAAAAAACATGAATCTTTAGGTTCATCTGATCCAACCCCCTCATTTTACAAATGAGAAGGAAGAGATGACTTGCTTCCACCCTGTTAGTGGGTAATGGAAGCTCAGTCCTCAGATGAGGTCCTTTCTCAGATATTCTTTATCTGCAGTGCATTTTTTTTTAAAGATTTATTTATTTATGCATACAAGAACTGGGGTGCATACAAGGCCAGAGGTGGGGGGGCGAGTGGGGGGGGTTGCGCGGATGGGTAGGGAGTGAGAAGATTCACCAGAGACAGAGTGAGGAGCAGAACAGGCAGATCTATTGAACTACACTGCTGAGGGAAGCAACGGGCAAGACAGGAGAAGTATGCTGCACCTTGTGGGTCACCTCCCAGGCCGGGGATTGAACTCATGCTGCAGTGGCTGCAGATAGCTTCATAGTGCGGCAACTTAATCACTTGCACCACCAGGAAGGCCCCTATCTGCAGTGCTTTTGATAAGCTGTATGTCAATTATCTTGATTCTTCTCAAATCCAATCCTATTTATATCTTGGCCACACTGCATTATCAGAATGTATACTTACAATTACTGCAGAATATCATTAGCCAAATTGGCACTGTTAGCTCCTTCAATCTATAATCAGTATGAATTTTTTTAAATTCCAAAATGGAAATATCTTTATGTTCTCTAGGTATGTGATAAAAAGTTGATTCATATATTACTTATAGTAAACTCATATCAGATTGCTAGAATATACTTGTATTATATTGTTTGTATTACATTCTTTCCACCTTGGTATAACCATTTTCAAAACATTAGCATATATCCTCCCAGACATTTTCCATTATAAAAAGTGATACAAATTATTTTCCCCAATATTCAAACACAACCGTTATGAAAAAGGACAAATGAAAATACCCCTCTTTCTTTCCACCCCTGTGACAGGCAGAAATTTTAGAAATCTTTTAGAAGATCTTTCCCTGTTCCCTTAGTGAACATGCCTACATAATCCCCGAGACTGTGAATAAGATGGATTTTACTTTCATGATTGAGTAATGTTACATGGCACAGTCAACTTAATATAGGAAATTATTTGGGCGGACTTGACCTAATCATACAATTCCTTTAAAATTAGAGCATACTCTCTGACTTGTGAGAGAAGAGGATGTGAGACTTGAAATGTGAGGGTTAGGCACACTTGAAGACAGAAGGCACCAGATGACAAAGAATGGGACAGCCTCTGGGAGCTAAGAGCAAGGGGCCCCCGATTGATAGGCAACAAGGAAATGGGACCTCAGTTTTACATACAAGGAATGGGATTTTGCTGTAACAGTTTTGGCTGCCAGTTCTCAGGTATGTGTACAGTGGGGTCTTCAAAACATCAAGCAGGTGGTGTCCTACATTCAATTCAATTCTGACACTATTCCAAGATAGTATCAGATCCCACAGGTTACATGTGCTTCTGACCAACCAGCTGTAGATTACAGGTTCCAAGGATTTTGCCCCCTCTATAGGTTCAATTAATTTGCTAGAGCAACTCACTCAACTCAGAGAAATATTTTACTTAACTGATTATTGGCTTCTTACAAAAGAACATGAATCAGGAATAACCAGATAAAAGAGATGTCTATGACAAAGTATAAGGAAAGAGCACAGAGCTACCACACCCACCCTTGGCAAACTCTACTCTCTCCTAATCAACATGTGTTAGACAAACTGAAAGTTCTTTGACCTAATCCTTTTGGTTTTTTTATGGAAGCCTCATTACATAAGCCATGGCTGATTAAATCATGGGCTTTTGGTGATCAAATCAACCTCCTGTCTCTCTACCCTCCCTGGAGGTCAGGGTGATTGGGTAGTAATGAAAATTCCAGTCCTCTAATTGCACTATTGGTTCTCTAGGCAACCTTAGTCCCTTTTCAGAAGTCACCTCATTAACATAACAAGAGACACCTTGATAGTGCTCGGCACTTAGGAATTCTAAAGATTTTAGGAGCTCTGTGTGAGAAACAAGGACTAAGACCAAATATATATCTCCTACTATAAATCACAATTCACAGTCAGCCACCTGAATAAGCTTAGAAGTTCATTCTTCCCCAGAGTCCTCGGGATGAGAATGCAGACTGGCAGGTAAATTGATTTTACTTTGCAATTCCCTGAGCAGAGAATCTAGGCCGGCATGTGCCAAACTTGTGACAGAAACTGTGAGATCATTACATAGATGTTAGTGTAAGTCGCTAAGTTTGTGATAATTTGTTTTGCAGCAATAGAAAACTATTAAAACCCCCAATCCCATGTGTTAGTACGTAATCACTTAACATTGATATTTTAAGTCCTATACAAATATACCTTTAAATTAATCAGAACTATTATTCCCACCTTGTTTTCTGCATTGAATATATTATCACTTGTGTCGTATTTATGAGACAAATTTCTAGATTTGTTAAAGAGTATGCAATGAAAAATTTTGAAGAGACTGTCAAATTGCCTTTTCAAAAAGATTGCCTAGATTCCCAGTCCTACCCAAAGTCTGTGAGGCCAAATTTGTTCTAAATGGAAATTAGTGACTGTAGTTTAGTAGTATGTTACTGACTCTAGTTATGATCACTAGAATCTCTTGAGTGGTGTGACCACAGTGTTATACCCTACTTTTGTATCTTGTTTTCCATTTTCAGCTTGATTCTGCATATCTTTTCTACATTAATGTCTGTACATTTTGGTTAATTGCTTTTCAATTCAGTAATCTTTTTTCAATAATTTCTTTTACTTCTAGAGGAGCCCCCTGATGTAAACCTCAAAAGTCCAATTGCATGCTTAGATAACTGCTAAAAAGTAATTTAGAACAGCTAAATGTTCGAATACTATTTTCCTAATAAACTGGTTTTTTAGAGCAGTTTTAGGTTCACAGCAAAATTGAGTGGAAGGTACAGATATTTCCCATATGCTCCCTACCCCCATACATGCATAGCTCCCCACATCAACATCCCCCACCTAAATGGTATATTTTTTACAATTGGTGAATCTACAGTGACACAACATTAGGACACAATGTGCACATTTTCATTAGGGTTCATTCTTGGTATTGCTCATTCAGTGGGTTTGAACAAATGTATAACATCTATCTACCATTTTAGTACAGAATAGTTTCACTGCCATAAAAACTGCTCTGCCTGGGGCCTCCCTGGTGGTGTAAGGGGTTAAGTACCTCACTATGAAGCAATCTGCAGACTCTGCAGCACAAGTTCAATCCCGGGCAGGCCAGAGAGCAACCTACATGGCGAAGCAGACCTCACCTGTCTTGCCCACTGCTCCCCTCAGCAGTGTATTTCAGTCAGTCTGCCTGTTCTGTTCCCCTCTCTGACTCTGGTGAGTCCTCTCACCCCCCAGCATCTCTGGCCTATACCCCAGCTCTTGTATGCATAAAAAAATAAATCTTTAAAAAAAAATGCTCTGCCTATTCATCTTGACCTCTTTTTAATGCTTGGCAAACATTGATCTGTTTATTGCACTTAGTAGTATGCATTTAAGGTTTACTTAATGTCTTTTCATGGTTTGCACCAAATAATATCCCACTTTCCCAATATACCATGGTTTATTTATCTGTTCACTTACTGAAAGACATCTTGGTTGCCTCCAAATTGTAGGTATTATGAAAAAACTCTTATAAACATCCACATGCAGGGTTTTGTTGTGGATATAAATTTTTTCAACTCTCCAAAGACTCTTTTGTTTCTATTAACCACTTGTGAAATCTAAATAGATTTCAGTCAGCTATCAAATGATAAATTGTCAATAAAACAACTAAAAGAATTAAGTATTATTTATTAGCAATAATCGCGCCTCGGATAAACCTCATTGGCTACGATACTGCCACTGCGCAAAGCTAGTATTATTTATTGATTTGATTGATTTTTTTGGTGGGAGACCATAGAAACAGTCCCCCACTACCACAATTTATGCAGTCAAGTTTCCCACATTTAGGGAAATCGCAGAGTTGAGCACACCCAGAGTAAAACGGGGAATCTTTGCCCAGCAAAATCACCTTTGTGATCATGGTGTCTCTCCTGACAGGTAAGTATGAGAATTAAGTATTAAGTATTATTTAACCTACTGGATTAGGGCCTCCCTGGTGGCTTAGGGGTTAAGTCTCAGCGCTATTATCTCGAAGGCCCACTTCAGTGGCTTGGGCTTGATTTCGATCCCAGTCAGGGAGCTGACCCACATATGGTGCAGCAGACCTCTC